ATGCCACGGTTACTGAACCGATGCACGACAGTATGGCTATATCACACTTACATTGACGTCTCTAGGCAACGCTCCAGAACTAAGTGTCTGGATTCTTCTTCACCGACAGACTGATGAGAGAATCTATAATAGATAACTTACGAGTCAAACTCTATATAACAAGTTCCAAAGTTTATTACATGTAGTACAAAACAATTAAACAAGAAATATGAACTTGAGAAGCAAAACTACCCAAAGATGTCAGCAAGACGATGCACAAGCAGACGATTATAAGGATTCATTGGTTTCAGCTCAAGCACTTTATTTACACTGCATAAGTAACAATTACTGAGCTGAATTTACAGATACCAGTGAAGATTAAATATGGATATTCCTACTAATCCGAAAGGTACTTGTACTTGTATCCCATGGTAGGTATATTCACATTGATGATAACACTATTGTGCAGGAAATTTCACCTAACTTACCTTGCATCTTCCTCAAGAAAATTCACCAACAGCTCTTCCACCGACAAAATGAGATGCTTGCAAGGAAGATTATCTTTAACAAGAGAAGTCAACTCTTCAACCTGAGCACCCATTAATGTAAAATAAATGCATGATGAATGAGAGGGAGCAATCAAAATTTTCAATGTATGATGAATATGTTATATGTGCAGCCTCTATCTTTTTATATTTTCTGTTGTTTTCTTTTCTTTAGTCCAAAACGACATCGTATTAGGGCGAATGTATTTTGCATTTTCCGCGGGCTATATAAATGAACCGCGTGTGCAATAAACAGTTTGAGCTTTTCCCCAAATTATCAGAGCTCTCAGAATTATTTCTTATTTCATTTTACTACATGGTACCGCGAGCAGGTCAAGCTCACTGAAGATTGACGTGATCTTCAATGGCGAATCGCAATCCAAATGACACATGGCCACTGCTGAATGCTAGAACAGGCATTGGAGCATAAAATCATGAAGACAATCCTCTATTTCTACATGGATCGGACCACCCTGGTTTGCAGCTGGTATCACATCCACTGACAGGAGCCAATTTTCTGACATGGAAACGATCGATGATGATCACGCTTGGTGCGAAGACGAAGATAAGGTTCATCAATGGCTCAGTTCAACCGCCGAATGCAGGGGATCCAGATTTCGACAAATAAAAGAAGGTCGATTGTATGGTAATCTCTTGGATTTTAAATTCGATTTCTAAAGATATAGCCGATGGTTTTGTTTTTGCTGAGACTGATAGAGAACTATGGGATGAAATCTGTCAAAGTTTTGGGGAAAGTAATGGTCCACTGATTTACCAATTGCAAAGGGAAATTTCGAATTTAAAGGAAGGAACGGGTTTTGTTATGGTATATTTCAATAAGTTGAAGAGAAAATGGGAGGAATATGGATATTTTGTACCTCATCTGATGTGCCAGTGTGAAATTGGAAAGCCGATGGATGCACAATATCATCAAAATAAGCTCATGCACTTCTTAATGGGCTTAAATGAGAGTTATGAACATGTGAAAAATCAGGTATTGTTAATGGATCCTTTACCTACAGTTAGCAAAGTTTATTCGATGTTGCTATCAGCTGAGAGGCAAAGATCAGTACAGCTTGCAAGTGATGATTTTAACTTGGGCATGGCAATGGCTTTTGTTGTAAATATTTTCCGGAGCAGAATCGAAAGATTCGAACACCGGGTCGTGTCTCACGAGGAAGGTTAGCTGGATAATTGTGTACGATTATTCAAACACGAAAAGAAATAAAAGAAAAATTCCTGAACATACAATTCAAATGATTGGGTTTGATTTAATTATCTACTAGCACGAAAATTTAAATAAAGCAGTAAAAATAACGAGCTAAGACGAAGAACAAATAGGATTAAAGGAGCTAGGGAGTCGGGGATATCCGTTTTGGTCCGAAAATGCAATTGATGGGCAAGAGATTATTCGGTTAAATGATTTGAATAACTTATCGTTCAAGTTTTCATTCTCAATAACTGTTCGTAACAAGAGAACAAGCTTAAATGACAAATTAACAATTCAATTAACGCCTAGGCAATACAGCTACGAACAAGCCTAGTTCATACGAGCTTATTTCGACCGACTCCTCCCCTTTCGATTCTAAGAGTTGATTAACTTGTTATCATCCGATTCGGTAAAACACCATTAAGAGATTCCAAACATCACATTAAGAGGAAGATGACCATTGAACCGACGCGATTTTAACACCACCCGGTTCAGGCGATGAACCGGACCGAACTACCGAAGACCGAAGTGGTCAGCACCTACCGAGGTCTACAGCATCTACCGAGGTCTACTTAAACCGAGATCGCCACCTCCTTAAGCAGGTGACAAGGTGCCTACGCACAACCATCCCGCTCCACAAGATCCGTCATCATTTATGTGGGACCCACTGCTCCAAACCGCCCACAAAAAGCTACTTTATTCAAAAAGTAGTACACAGATCCCAATGTATCTACCAAAAATTACTATAAATAGTGAACCCATGACATTTGTACGGGGATCTCTCTCCGAACTGAAAAAACATCATTATGCAACACGAAAAAGCCCATCACGGCTCTTCACCTCGATTCACCTCGGACCGGGGCCATTGTTGAGTTATTTCAACATGCTTTACGTCCAAATCATTCATAATTCTCATCTTAATAACGTGTTACATCGTTGTTAGAAATCACATAACAACATAACTTAGACTAGAAGATGATTAATCAACTAGCCCGTTTAGAATTAACAACTTCAAACAAGAATAAATCGAACTCAATTGAAATCAATTGGAAATTGAAGTGTCACCCTTCAATAATCCTCAATATTCAAATATGATAATTGAAAAACCCTATCAAAAGCTCGACTCGTACAAATTGAACAATCTCAAGCCCGACAATCACGAACGAATTAAAACATCAATCCCCTAATCCCTAGCATATTGATTTAGCTATTCATAATCGAATTAACAATCAAAATCATAATCATCAACGAATCCATATTCATAAAATTAATTGAAAAGAAAGATCTTACGAGTAATAAATCCGAAGATGAATAATAATTCGAATAACAATCTTGAGTCCGAAAATAATAGCAAATTCCGAGGTTCAATCCGTGTTCTCCGTCGAAAATTATTAAAAGAAAAGTGAAAAAAGAATGGAAAAGAGGAACAAGAGAAATTAAAATAAAACCTAGGCTGGGAATATAATAATCCGATCAATCCAAAAATCTGCTAAATAAGATCTGGTCTGCGCGACGTCCGCGGCCGCGACCTATCTGGTGGTCGCGGTGAAGTAAATCTCGCGGTCGTGGCTGCTCTTCGAGGCTGCGGAATTTCGTCTCTGAAGTCGGAAAAAACTGGGGAGGTTTTGGTCGCCGCGGCCGCGGTGAAGGAGGAGTCGCGGCCGCGGTCTTGAAGTCTTGGCGCGACGGGAAATTAGCAGCAGGATCGCCGCGCCGTGGTGGAGGCTTCACGCCGTGAAAGAGATGGTCGCCGCGCCGCGGGGAGGTGAAGTGCCGCGGTGGTTTTGTGCGCCGTGAGGGCTGGCAGGTTGTAGCGGTGCTGTCTCAAGGCAAGGTGGGAGAAGGGTGGCGTGGAGGTCTGGAGTGGTGTCGTGGTCAGCAGCTGCCCGGCGTGAAGTTGACTCCTCGCTACCAAAAGTGTGGCCGACTGCTCTCTCCCGGACAATCTACGGAAAACACCGGTTGCTCGCTGTTCTAAGGGGCTGAGTCTGCTCGTGTGAACTCCCGACAGAAGGGTCAATCGACTATGGTGGATTGAACGGGCGGAACCTGACTGAAATTTCACAATCCGGCTGTTCGCTGAAAAGGAAAACTGAACGGCTACTGAAGACGAGTCACCGGCTGCCCACCACTGGGAATGAAAAATGAAGAAAAGTTTGGTTCTCGGCTCTCGGTTTGCTTCAAATCGGGCCCTCAATCTGCCGCTAAGGAGATGGAATTGTGAAGGTGGACCTGCGGCAGACGCGTGGTGGTGCTGCGCTATCATGAGAAGGAATTCCCAATGCGGTGGCCTGGTAGCTCGGGCGTGTTGCTCTACTTTGCATATTGTGTTCGGAAACCAAATTTGATTCCATTATTCTTGTGTATTGCCAACGAGACATTGCATTTAATGATGTTCACCCGGACCATTTACCGTGAGAAATAAATCCTCTCGAGACCTATATCCTGCGCACCAAAAATGACAAACCACCGGAGAACGACCGAAAAAACACGAGAAATACCCAAATAAAACAAAACACTAAATAGACCAATAAATAAACTAAAACTCGACTAAACGATCCAAAATGGGGGAAAAAGAAAGGTAAAACAAACACGAAAAACGAGACAAAAATGGAACGAACGGCTTTCAAAACAAATGCAGCTTTTGGTAGAGGTATGAACAACAGATTTCCTAATAGTCAGCCTTCTTATGGGAAAGGAAGGAGTGGATAGAGGTTATCTAAGGAAGTAAAAGCCAAATTGACATGTGAGAATTGTGGATGGACGGGACATAAAAAGGCCACATGTTTTAAGCTGCATTGTTATCCAGATTGGTTCAAGGAAATGAGGGATAGCATAATGAAAGGAATTGCTAATGTAGTTGAGATAAAGGACAACAACCAAATGATGCCTGGATCTGGGTCTAATTCAGTAAATGATATATCCAAATTGGCTCAAGAAGTAGCTAAGATCCTTGGTAAAGGCAATAAGGATGGACGAGGAGGTTATACAGGACTGGAAGAGGAGCACTATGTAAATTTTGCCACAAATGAAGGAGACTATGCACAGTCCATGTATGATAGTGTTGAAGGCAAGGCTTGGGTGATTAACACAGGTGCCAGTAAGCACATGTGTACAGACAAAGGATTATTGAAAAATGTGGTGTTCTTATCAAAGCCTATCATCATCTACCTGCCTGATGGGAGTATTAAGGAAGTGCTGGAAATGGGTGAAGTGGAACTAACAAAGAACCTAACATTATGTGGTGTGCTGTTCATTCCCTCATTCAAATATAACCTACTTTCAGTTACACAATTGTGTGCTTCTTCAAATCTGCGGTGCATTTTTAATTCAAATCAATGCATATTTGAGGATGTGTTGTCTGGCAGGAAGATGGGGCAAGGAAAGTTGCATGGGAAACTTTACATATTAACCACAGAAGAGGAAGACACATATAATCAGGTGGCATGTAGTGTGTCTCTTGAACATTGGCACAGGGTTTTGGGGCATGCATCATTGGGTGTACTGCAGCATATAGACTTTTTGAAAGGATATTGTAAAGAAAAAATGCATTGAAGGAATGTAAGATTTGTTTTAAATGTAAACAGCATAGAGCACCATTCCCTTTGAGCAAAATACAGTTTGCAGATATATTTGAGATGATACATGTGGATATATGGGGGCCTTGCAGAGAGGACAATATCACAAACACACCATACTTCCCACTGTTATTGATGATTACAGTAGGGCTGTGTGGATCTATTTGATGAAGAGAAAAGGTGAGACAGTAGGACACATTGAAATTTTTTTGTCACTAGCCAAAACTCAATTTGGGAAAGTGGTCAAAAGGATAAGGAGTGACAATGGTTTGGAATTTGCTGGGGAACAATGTCAAAGCTTAATGAAAAAGAATGGTATCATACATCAAATGAGTTGTGCCTACACCCCAACAAAATGGGGTGGTTGAGAGAAAGCACAAACAACTACTGGAGATTGCAAGAGGCCTTCTTTTCAAGTCAGGTTTGCCATTAATTTTTTGGAGTTATGCAGTGTTAACTGCAGCCTTCATTGTTAACAGATTGCCTAGTTCAGCTTTGGGATGGAGCACACCATTTGCAAGAATATATGGCAAGGAAAGTGACTATAGCAGATTCTAACCCTTTGGTTGCTTGGTGTATGCTGCAAACACAACACCTCACAAAGGAAAATTTGACAGCAGGTCACATAGATGTATCTTTATTGGCTATCTGGTAGGATGCAAGGGATACTACTTGTATGATCTTGAAGAGGGGAAGAGAATTGTTTCTAGAGATGTTGTTTTCTTCCCCAACACCTTCCCTTTTCGGTCTGCACGAGCTAAGGCAGGTGCATCATCTCTTCTTTTGCCAGCATCTGATGAATATGAACCAGAAACACCTCAAACCATAACAGATCCAACACCTGTTGAACCTAGAGAGCAAGGGGAACCAGCTGTGGTCAACACAAAAAGGGTAAGATCAAAGCCAGCATGGATGCAAGACTATGTGTGTGATAATGTGACAGAGGACCGCAGCACACATGTAAACTTGTCATTAGCTAACTTAGCACATGAGGAAGAGCCATTGATTTATGAACAGGCTAAGCACAATGCAAAATGGGTGGAGGCTATGCACTTGGAACTACAGGCACTAGATGAGAATCAAACATGGACCATGTTCTACCTACCACCTGGTAAGAAGGCTATAGGGTCCAAATGGGTCTATAAGATAAAGAGAAAAGCAAATGGAGAGGTGGAAAAATATAAGGCAAGGTTAGTGGATAAGGGGTTTAATCAAGTGGAAGGTGTGGATTTTTTTGAGGTTTTCTCACCTGTTGCTAAGTTGGTAACAGTAAGGCTATTCATGGCTATGGCAGCAATGAAGGGATGGGACTTGTGGCAATTAGATGTCAACAAAGCATTTCTGCATGGTCACCTCAATGAAGAAGTGTTCATGAAACCACCAAAAGGATACTCAAACTTTAAGGAGGGCAAGTGTGTAAGCTCATTAAGAGTCTCTATGGCTTAAAGCAAGCCTCTCGGGAGTGGAATTCCGAGTTGTCCAAGAAATTATTGGCTTTTGGACTGCAACAATCTTCCCAAGATCACTGTTTGTTTACACAACACAAAGATGGGGAGTTCCTTGCAATGCTTGTCTATGTTGATGATGTTCTTGTTACTGGTTCTTCTCCACACCTCATGACATCCTTGAAAGACTTTTTACATAAAGAGTTTACCATCAAATACCTAGGGGATGCAAGATATTTTTTAGGAATTGAAATCACAAGAAGTACTGAGGGTCTAGGTCTCTGTCAACAGAAATATGTAACAGACTTGGTGCAGGACCTTGGATTGCTTGACTGCAAAGAAACTCACACCACTTCCTCATGGATTGAAGCTCTCCAATTTTGATGGTAACCCTATGGATGAACAAGATTTATATAGAAAGGTCATTGGGAGACTGTTGTATCTCAACTTAACTCGTCCTGATATAAGCTATGCGGTACAACAACTAAGTCAATTTGTTACCAACCCCTTTACAAATCATATGATAGCTGCTCTTGATGTGGTGAAATATCTCAAAGGGACTTCTTCCCTTGGTCTTTTTTATGCCACTGGTGGGAATTTCGACCTTAGTGCCTATTGTGATGCCGATTGGGCGGAATGTAAAGACACGCGGCGCTCGATTAATGAATATTGTGTATTTTTGGGGCCTAATCTGGTTTCTTGGAAAAGCAAAAAACAGACCACAGTTTCTCGTTCTTCAGCCGAGGCCGAATACAGAGCTATGGCTGCAACTGTTTGCGAGCTTCAATGGATTCATGTTGTTGCTAACGAGTTGCTTCTCACTCCACGCCTACCTATTCTCCTATGGTGCGACAATCGCGCTGCAATGCACATTACAGCAAATCCGTGTTTCATGAACGTACGAAACACCTCGAAATTGATTGTCATGTTGTCCGTAACAAATTCAAGGAGGGTTTTATTGAGCTGCGCTATGTTCCTACTCGAGCTCAGTTTGCTGGTGTCCTTACCAAGATTCTGTCTGCTGCACATTTTTCCTCTTTAATCTTCAAGTTGGGCATGGTTTTCCTCCACCCTGCTCTAACTTGACGAGTGGTGATGAATATGTTATATGTGCAGGCTCTATATTTTTATATTTTCTGTTGTTTTCTTTTCTTTAGTCCAAAAAGACATGGTGTTAGGGTGATTGTATTTTGCATTTTCCAAGGGCTATATAAATGAACCACGTGTGAAATAAACAGTTTGAGTTTTTCCCCAAATTATCAGAGCTCTCAGAATTATTTCTTATTTCATTTTACTACAATGTAAGGGCACAAAGTGAGTTTATCTGAAATTTTCGCTTCACCCAAAATCATTACGACGCCAAAAATGTACTTTCGGCGTTAGATTCGGGAAGTTCTTGGGCTTCATTGTTAGTCAACGCGGCATCGACGCCAACACCGAGAAAATCGAAGCAATACAAGACCTTAGGCCGCCGGCCTCGATTAAGGGGGTCCAAAGTCTAATGGGAAAGCTGGCAGCGTTAAGTCGGTTCATCTCTAGATCAACCGACAAATACAAGCCGTTCTTCGAAGCCATTAAAAAAATCAAAAATTCACGTGAACGCCGGAATGTCAACAAGCTTTGGAAGCAATCAAGAG